TATAACTCTGGTTCTGAATACTGCTGGAGAGTTACGGGGACACGGAATGTGGTATAGGGGAAGTAAATTGTTATTTCCCTTTGCAGGAAATTTGCAGACCGTTTCACACGTTTCAAAAATCGAGCATAACGTTGTATCAGTTGAGGTGTCTGAATGTAAGTCACAGACAGGTCTCTGAAGTGGGTGGTCTCTGAGGAGCTGGAACGTGCTGGGGGGGTCGGGGGTCGGGCAGGGGTACAGCTGGTTTTGATGCGTTTTACAGAACCGTCTGGGCTTGTGAATGGCAGCCACGAATTACACTGATAATTTGTAAATGGAGTGCTTTTCAGCTGAGGGTGTTGGAGCGAGACACAAGACTCCAGATTGTCAAGTCCGGGATTTGATGTTACTTTACTTATAAAGTTAGGCAATTATTTGTTTCTTGGGTGCTGACTGAAGACACAGGACTCCGGGGTCAGAGATGAAGGAATTTATTACTCACTGCAGGCAAGCAGCTCGAGCGTCAGCCGCAATGTCCCCATTGTCCTCCGGCCTCATTGGAATAATCCGCCAGGCCCAGACGGGGACAACATGCCCGTGGGTCTGCGTCACAGCTGTGAAACACTGAGCTTGGGGAATCCACTGCTTTCATAGCAAGCCGTAGGCAAGCCTTATCTTTGTCCAGAGGAATGTTATCTCATGTCTCAGAATTAGCAGCTGCATAACAGCCCTGAGAAGTGACCTGGATGAAGGATCGTCAGGGCGGCACAGTCTTGGTACACCCAGCGACAGATGTAGCAAGAGGCCCAGGAGGCCCGCTGGGAGCGCAGCCTCTCCCAGGACAGACCCAGGTTCCGTGGTTTGCCAGCTGTGATGTGGGGCAAGTCTCTTTTCCTGTGAAAGTCTCCTTTTTCTTACACGCCTGATGGTGAAGATGCTAAGGACCTGGGGCTTGAGTTGATGTCTGTAAAGCACGCAAGACAGCAAGACAGTGCCAGGCATGCAGTAAGTACTCAAGTTTTCATTTTTATCTCTCCAAAAAGAAAACCAAGCCAAAAACAAACAAACAAACAAAACCCAAACACTTAAGTTCTGGTATTTTCCAGAATCCGTTAATGAGCACTGCATGGACACCTGCAAGCTATCAATCATCTAAGCCTCAGTCTTGTCGCCTATAAAATGGGGATGGTAACGTCCTCATCACGAGATGATGGAAGCACATCGTGAGCAGGCAAATACGACCCATCGCTTAGTTTACTGATGCTGCCAATCCACCCAGCCTCCCTGCTTCTATCACAGAAGCATCACTGCATTAACAATCAAGTACCAGGAAGAAACTTTATGTCCAAAATACCAGGCACAGCGACTTGTCCAAGGTCCTAACACAGTTTCACCTTTTATTTAAGGTAAATAGAACCACTTTCTCTGAAATTCAGCTGTGGAAAGAAGTAAAGATTATTTGCACAACATGTACTTAGTTTTTGAACTTTGATAGACATTCATTTTTTAAAAAAATTTTTTTCTGAGGGCAGTTAGATTTTATGTATTTTTATTATTTATTTATTTATTTATTTATTTATTTATTTATTTATTTATTTATTTTAATGGAGGCACTGGGGATTGAACCCAGGACCTCGTGCACACTAAGCACGCGCTCTGCCCCTGAGCTCTACCCTCCCCACCAACGGACATCAGTTTTTAAACAGAAAAGGCAAACTTACTTCAACAGACGCTTTTTAAGGTGCTGCTGATTCAAGGTAAATCGGTTTACAATGCCGTGAAATAGATGTTGTAAGGAGGATGCTGCATGTGTGTGGTTATGTATAGATTGATGAAGGGGTCCACAGCTTAACTCAGCCTCCGGGAAGGACCACCACCAATACTGAAATGGCCCTGCTGGTGGGTTAATATGCGCTTTCACCGTCTTTGCGATCAGGTGACAACAAGGCTCCAATTAGAACACTCTTTCCAGTCTCCCTTCTGGTGCTCCGACAGCCTAACCTCTCTTGAGAGTTATTGACTCTTTGTAGAATCATTCATGATAAAGTCTCAAATCGCTCAAGTAAATAAATACACTCCATGGTTTAATTCTTTATATTTTCTAAAGTTCCCTGATTTCTTTCAGAAGGATCACTCACGGATCTTTACATTTAATAACTAATTGTGTATGAAATGTATCATTGCTTATGCTATAGAATATGTTAAAAGTCATGTTCATTTTCAGGAAAAACTGTTCCTGTGCCTTTGAAAGGCAGTGGACTTCAAGGTAAAGGGCACAGAATCCACAGCCAGACCACCGATTGCTAATTCAGCTCTCCCAGTTTCTGCTTTGTGATGTTTCATCTCTAAACAGGGATAATGTAGTCTACGGACCTCGTAAATTTGTAGTAAGAAATAAATGAGCTGAGATACATATAAAGAATTTGAAATCATGCCTGCCACACAGTAAGCAAATACGATACGTTATTACAGACGATATTTCAAAGCTGACAATTAAGAGGCAATTGTCCTTAAAACACATACTACAAACTAATAAAATGCTTATCCTTTTCATAAGAGGATGCCTAAAATGGAGTAAGAAAACATTGTTTTCATACTTCAATTAATGGTCAAATACTCCAGGCAATGCTTGTCAAAAATGGGTAATACCTCGATTTTACTGGATTGTTTGTCAGGGATTATAGCCATTCTTTTGACATCACCACTTCACTAAGCCAGGACTTCTTAAGGGAAAATTCAAAAACTCGTATCCTGTTTGTACGTCTTGTCTCAGAAAGAGAACTTGCTGTCCTCTCTTACACAAGAAGATATTTCCAAAGCAGCAGAATGTGATTAATTCCCTCTGGGTTTGGTTTTCTTTTGATGTGGTCAGGGCATATCTTCAACTTATAGGTAATGCTCTGATAAAGAAATTCAGGATCACACTTACCAAGCTGACCCATTATTTCATTTGTGTTCTGTTAAAGGAGCAATTGTGTTGTGCCTTAAACAAAAAGAAAGAAAGTCAATAAATAGATTTTTTTCAGGATGATTTATGACAGAAGTTCTACAAACAGTGTTTTTCTTTGCCAAATAATTCCTTTCAAGTGCTTTTTTAAGAAAATGTAATATCTTTTTTATGCCAGAAAAATAGCTAGGGTATGAATTTGACGTCACAGGCATGGTGAGCGTCTGGAAAAGGTTCTGAAAATGCTATTTACTTCCATACACAAGGTCACAGAATTAATGCTCCATGCCAACATTTGCAACTGGCTGTCCAGGGAGCCTTGGCTGTTTGGAAAATTAATGTGTGTATGTTCACAGTGTACTTGTGCCTACATTTCTAATAAACCCTTTCACAAGACAGAGAACATTGCATCCACCTGATTTTACAATTGCCTTTTTACGAGGGAACTTTGCAAGTGTACAAGATCACCCAACCTAGCCGAGTTAAGAGAAAATTGCTTTGGAAGAATGAACTCCATGAATTATTTGAGTGTGTTATGGACTCTGACTTGAATGAGTGGTCCCATGAGCCTCTGGGACTCTTAAAAATTCTGCAGTTTCATGTCTGCCCATTTATGTCTCTTGAATTATGTACCTTGGACCCCACCAAGAGTATTCACTGTCAAACATACATCATTATAACTTTACGTCTGTGGTCTATGGAAAAATGCCACTTTGGAGAATGTGGTTAAATTTCATAGAGTGGATAGCTATTTTTTGTTAAGGCCTGGATAATTTTTTGTAAGTGATTTGACTCAGTCATCTTTGTGTGCATCCTCGATGATTTGAGGAAAGAGGGGACAATGGGGAAGTCTGGAGGTGGGAGAACATACTAGTAGTCCTTACTAATGAATGCTGATTGAGTGTTGACTACGTGTCAAACACGTGTCTAAGCATTTTATTTGCATGAACTCGCTATTGCTCACAATATCTCTCCAGGGTGGGTCCTATTAGTCTCTTCATTTTGGAGATATGAAGACTGAAATGCAGTGAAATGAGGTAATCTGCCTGTGGTCACAGAGTTTCGGTAAATGACTCTACCCAGGGTGCTCAGTAACATTCTGCATTTTAGTGGGAAAACTTTCAGTAAAAGGGGCTTCTAGAGAGTTCTCAGAAAAGAACTTCGTTTGGTTTATTTGGATCTGGGTCTCTTTTTCTCATGTCTGGGAACCACAAATTCTTGGTAATCCCTGAAGATATCTCAGTAATACACTCTTCCAATAAAAAAAAAAATCCAAGAGTAGGAATCATCTGGAATGCCGACATACGAAAACCTTCCCAAGGGAAAAAAGTCGGTGGCATGCTGGTGTCTGCCCTCAAATCATCTCACTTTTTGTGAAGCCACATGAGACCTTAGTTCGGTGCGCGTAGAATTGCAGTTCCATCACACATATTCTCGGGGGCTCCTTCATGGCCCCGATGAGGTCTGGTGAGATGCTCTAGACCTGCACCCAGGACCCAGCCCTGTCTGAATACCTAGAACATTGACATCCTCCAGACTCAGGGTTTTCCTCTGCTAAATACTGCTGGATGCTCGCAGACAAGTTCTTCAGTGTAATGAAGAAGACAGCGGAACATTGTCACCCAGACTTGGTTCCCTGAACTGAGCCTTTCCACGTTCAAACTCCAGACCCTGCATATACTTGCCTCTTCAAGTGTGCTGTCCATGTGATTTGGGGGAAAGTATGTCTTTTGGCCTTTGGTATGAATTTTATAAATCTCACGCTCAAGTATCTTTCTTGAGGGTCTCTTCTGAAAATATAGACCTCCTTTGGACATCTACAGCCCTCTCTAAAGGAGAAATAAATAAATGTGATTGGATGTTTATATACACAGGTTTTCTCCCCACAAGGAACAGATTTACATAAGAGGAGACATACATTTCACAGTAAGTAACATACTCAAGCCGCAGCAAATTTTATTTGGATGTCAGTTACCACCACAGCAACACTGTTTTCCAGTTGTAGCTTTGACAATAGGATATTAATATGCTATTATAAATTTCTTTTTAAAATACTTGCTTTGAATTCTTTCAGATTGACATTAACACTCTCCTGCCCAATGGATCTCAAGAATTTTCCAATGGATGTACAAACATGTATAATGCAACTGGAAAGTTGTAAGTGTGAACAATTTACTTTGTCTTTTAAAAATACAGTAGACATATATTTAATGCAGTATGTAGATGGTTTACTTTGTAATTGTCTTTGTCAGATATTTACTAAATAGGCATGTTGTCTTCCACCGAGTTTAGGAAATAATAATGATGCTTATCAGCACATGCACTCTTTACTGTGATCAAGAAATAAATCCAGGACTCGAAGTAACAGTTTTTAAGCTGGAAAAACAGCTCTTCTCTCTAGACAAAGCATCAAAGGTAAAAAGGATGATAACCATTAAAGACAAATCACCGTTTTTTTTTTTTCATTGAGTTCCTGCTGCAGGCTGAACATTTTGAATATGTTATTTCTCATACTCACACCAAAGATGTTGTCACCCCCAGGCTTCCTCATGTGACAATGGTCATTCTGAGTGATTGTGCTCCAGTTTATGGAGGTGGTGACAAGCCATCTGGTGTCAAAGTCTACGCTTGCTCTAGCCATGTTGCCACCCCTCAGCTGGTGTTTGTCCACAGCCAACACTGCTGGCTGTGTGACGTACGTTATCTCAGGAGGAAAGATGCTTCTCGCGCTTTATCTGAGCTTTACCCAAGCTTATAGGCGTTTCTTTGAATCTCTTCTTTCAAAGTGGATCCTTGTGCATCAGAGATTCACACTAACACAGGGAAAACGTTGCATTTCTCTGAACTGATCTGTATAATCAGCCCAAACGTAATTGCGTCTTCAGCGTTTAATGCCATACCAACAGTAAGCATCATGCCATATTTTTCTCGTGGTCCTGTGTTACATCACGAAAAAAAAATTTTTTGTTTGACATCCTCCTTGCGAAAAATTGAACTGGGTGTGCAGACTTGCAAGCCTGAGGCCAGGTCTGTAGTGTGGAGGCGCGGCCACTAGGTGGCGTGCCTACTTCATGGGGGATGCGGCCGTCCCTCCACGTTCGGGTTCTCTTAAAGGAGGTGGAAATAACTATTTCTCCTCCTAGTTAAATTTCAATCCATTACTTTTATAAGCAGTTCTTCAATATTAAATATACTCATGGATAAATTACTAGGTTAAAGGAAAATAAAATAATCTAATTTTAGTTGGGGGAGCTATTTAGCCATAAAAGTGGGGGCGCGGTGGGGTGAGCAGTGCGGGATTCTCAGCGGTGCAGGTTTTTAACTGTACCATGAGGACGCTTTGAGGACAGGCTGATTCTGCATCTTGGTTACAAAACTAGGTCCATGGGAGAGTATCGAAAGAAAAATCTTATGATAACAGTCTAGGACTGGTCCCCTAATTACTAAACCAGAGATGCTGTGTGTTACCCCAGAGGCAGTGAGGAACTATTCAGGAAAATGACCTGGTCAGTATTTCCCAGATGAACTAAGGTTATTTAAGAAAGTTTCATTGTAGCCCCACAAAAAAGGAACAAAAGTCAGGACGAAGAGGAGTGATGTGGAGGTTGCTCCTGTAGAAGAGGCGAACTGGTGTCTTTACCTTCTTAGGCTCCTCAGGCTGGGCCTGAAAATTAAACAGAGATAAGACAGATTGACAGGAGAAAAGGATACAGACTATTTAATGCAGGTTTGACATGGCGGGGGATCCGTCACAAGGAAATGAAAAGTCAAGTAAGTGGCAGAACCTAAATGCCTTTATACCAGGTTGAACAAAGAGAAGCAATTGTGGAGCAGTAACTAAACTCTGTGGGGAACTAAAGGAAGGCGAGAATTATTTTAGCAGGCTCTGTTTGTACAGAATTCTCTCAGCTTTGATCCCCAGTTGAAGAATGTTTCTTTTTTCCTGGTAAGGGGAGCACGTCTTTCACATGGGAGTTTTTAATCTCCCGTTTTCACGAAGAAAAAGGGAAAGAGGAAAGCCTTTCTTGCATCTGTTGATTTTCAAGTGTCTTTTGCTCAAAATAATCCATCTGCTAAAGTGGCATATTTTGGGGTGCGTTTTCCACCATTCTTCATTCACTTCAACACAAAGTGGATGCAAAGACTCATCTGGGTGCCGATGAGTCAGAGCTAAAGAGCTTAGATAAATAGAATTGTATTGGAAATATCGACAGAGAAAGAAAACATAGAATGAGAAGGAAATGCTGAAGGGAATATTGATAAATCCCATCTTAGTATATTTAAGGTTTGGGAAATTTAGGTATAAAGCCAAAGGGAGGAGTTAGAACTGAGGATATACTATTAAAAGCCATCAACAGAGTGGTTCAACATTCAGGTGAAATTTCTAGAGGAGAGAAGTTGGAGATGAAAACAAACACACACAGAAGAGCAAATCCTTGAGAAAGGCCTACGTTTAGAGGCTGCTGGAAGGAACACCAGTCAAGGAGTTGTCACAGATAGCAAATTAAAATCTCAGTCATGCAGTCTCAAGAGAGAAGGGGCTGCCAAGAAGTTCTGTCTAATGGCACCAAATGCTGTGATTTTTGGTTTTGTTTTTTTTAAGTAATTGAAAAAGAGCCATTGTTAGTGATGACAAAGACAAGCTGACTAGAGTGATGAGGGTCAAAGCTGGATTCCAAGATTTTTTAAAAACAGGGAGAGTGTGTTGAGAAGGTGGGAGCAGTGAGTGGAATGTCTAGTTCCATGATGGTAGTTATTAAAGATGAGAGCGCGCAGAGCCAAGAGATGGCTGTGTCCCTGGGCGTCTCTGTTCCCAGGACACAGGTGCTCACGTGACGAGACCTTTCTTGTTTCCGCCTCTCCCAGAATGTTTCCAAATCAACCAAAAACTCAACGTGGGGGAGCAGAGCCTTGCGCTGCCTCCCCTTGTTTCTTCTTACCTCTGTAGGAGGGGGTAGACCCTCTCATGCTGCAGTCACAAAACGCTTCCTGCGCTCTGAGCAGAAAGTCATCTAACTCATGATAGAGATATCATTTGTTCACGTCTTGTGGCAGATGCTAAGAAAATCCTATCAAAGTAGAAGCTACTGAAGTCAAATTCTTCAAGGCATTTTTCTTAAACTCTTTTAGAGCCATTCCTCGCTTTGTTTTGTTTTTTAAAATAATGGCTGAAAATGGCAAGTTAAAAGATTTAAGAGTTCAGCTCAGTGGAAAGCAAGAACTATAAGGAACTTGGTGTCTACTGTTGAATAAATTCTGAGAGCAAAGGGGAAAAAGAAAACCGATTGGGTTTAGAGGCGTGGAAAACAAGCAAAAGGAAACTGAATTTCAAGGCAAAGTTCTTAATAGCCTGTGATGATCCAACTTTTTAAACTCAGTAAATGTTCAGTGTGTGTCAGTGGTCAGGAGTGTTGTAAGTGACCTGGGAAGAGCTCATGCATTTAAGTGTCGATTGAGAAATTTCTGTCAAATACCTAACATATTCCACATAATATGCTGGTGACACATAAAAATATACACATACAATAAAGCACAAAATGCCCTGTTTGGAAGGGCTTTAGGACTAATTGAGGAATTATCTATGCAAATATAATAATTCCATTAAAGGTGATAAGCATGTGTTAATAGCATACTGTTAGCACAAAGGAGAAGATGACCAAAGGAAGGGCAGTGTTGAGTGAATAAATAACTTAGGAAAGTATATTTTGTCTAAACCAGCAATGACTGCACACCCGTAAAAGTGGGCATCCCTGACTTAGACATAAAACCTCCATGTTGCAGAAGTCTTCGTGTCGGGAAAGTGTCTTAGTTCCTGGGGAAAGGCATGTAGGGAGGGGTCCAGGGGAAGAGAAACCTTTCAAAGGAAATTAATGAGAAAAAAACTATGAGCTAAGGATAGCATTAAAAAATAAAGGTGGAATAGATAACTCTCAAAACACAACTCAAAATTACTGTTTCGTCAAATGAAATGTGAGAAAGGAGAAAATAAAAGAAATAAAAATAAAATATAGTACATATAAAGCACAGAAAGAGAGCCAGAAGAACTCTCGACATTACCACAATTAATACACATGCAAAGGGTTAAATACGTAGAAGAAAACGAAGAGGTTCCCCAAGCTGGATGTAAACAGTTTTTAAGACGTAACAGTCTGTTTCAATGAAATTATTTTTAAAATACCATGCAGACAATCAGGGAAGATAGACAAATCCATTATCAGAGACACGTGTGTTAAAAAACAAATCCAGGATAACAAGTTCAATATCAGAAAAAAATAAAATAAGTTGTAGGAAAAAAACTCATACGATACAGACACTTGGGTGCCGTGTCGGTCAAGAAACTGAGCTACAGTGACTGTGAAAATTCCTCCCGCGTGACTTCCTGAGCCAGACAGCAAGATCTGGCAGGGCTGCAATTAAAACAGTAGCTCTCTCAGTAATTTACTTGAAGATACAAGTACAAATATTTGAACAGAACAGTTAGGTATAGATAGAAAACTCATAGTTTGGCTTGTTTTTAGCATACAAGCACATTTACAAAAATTTTGCTGTAAGCCACAAAGGAAGCTTCTATAAATTTTGAAGAATCCACACATGATGGAATGTGATCGCTGATTAAAATGCAGTATGATCAATAACAGTGTCAAATTACTGTAAATTACTATGGGTGGGCATGAATTATTATACATTACTATACAAATTCTATTAGCTGGAGACCAACAGCGTGGACTAAATGGCTCTTCGTTTAAAGAAAAAAATAAAGAAAAACTTGGTAAATGACAATGAAAGCGCTAAGTGTGTATCAAACCTTTGGGAAAATCCTGAGTGACTCTGTCTTTTCTAGTCGTATCTCCTGCTCTGGCATCAGAAGAGAATCTCAGGCAAAAGCTTTGTTTGAAAAAGAAAATGAAAAGAAATGCATATGGGTCTCTAATTTTGTCGTAAATTAATGCGAAGTTCAAAAAGCTGGGACAGGAATGGGAAAAACAGAGGACAGTTTGCAGACTTCTTCAATGATTTGCATAAGAATTAAGCATAAAGATGATTCTCCCTACTTTTCTCTCAGTCCTGAGGGTTGAACGTTGCCTCATTTAGATACATTAGAAAAGAGCTGGTGATTCATGGGAAAAGTAGTGCGGAAGCTTGACTTCTGCTTAAGT